TGCGTTTTTTGTGCCAATGCATTGTTAAAGGATCAGCGTGTCATGTAATATTCCCATATAAACTTTAACATCCAATTAAAAAATATTTGTATAGTAAAATTAGCTAATTCACGAGATTAATACATCCTTTATTAGACCGCTTTTTCGAGTTAAATGCAGCCTTACGGATGTGTCGAAATGCTGAATCAATTCATTCACTTCCAACAGCGCTTAATGGGAGCAGCGTCATAGAGGGCAGAGCGTCACGTTATTTAAAGGGGACGTTAATGAGTAGCAAATGATTAAGTAGCTGCATTGGTTACTTTTATGCCACTGATCAAGCTTTTATATGTAGTTTGGGGTAACAAAGGGGTTTTATAGGTTTGACTGAAATAATAATGCAATAACTGACACTTTAAATCAATGTTTCAAGAAACAACAACAACACTTTTTAACAAAAAACAGATAAAGACAAAAAAGTAGCCATTGATAATATCTAAACATGCATCCAAATCCAAATGTAATAAAATTAATTTATTTGTGATTGTTGTGTGAATTATGTGCAATGTCTTAGCTACTATAGATTATTACATAGGGCTTATACAGCATCTAGTGGCAACAATGATATTACAGATAATAAATTGTGCAAAATGTTTATCTTAACAGTCAATTTACAAATAATGCATTCAGATTTGTGCAACTCAATGCGCTGAATCTCCACAAATTAGTGTCGTTACTATGACAACCAATTTGAATGTGACAAACAACTGGTGTCTGAAAAGAATTTACATATATGTATATAAACATAAACATTCACGAAACAACCAGCCATATAGCGGACAAAATGCACAGATCATAAAGATAGAGTGCAATCACCCAAACACCCCGTCAACCACATTATGCTGTTTGATTAAAATATCCGACTGGCTGACAGTTCATAACTAATATTGATTAGTTGATTGATGGTACACTATGTTTTATGACAGACTGATATGAGTCTTCTTGCACTTCACTCTATCTTACATCACATTTATGGATTATCTAAAGCGTTTGATGAAAATATGAACACATGCTCTGTTGTTTGCGCTGCAGGAACTCTGTAGAGGAGATCTTGCTTTGTTTTTCAAGGTTCTGCAGTTAGCTGTGAATGACATGTGTGTTTATGTGTCTCTCAGGTGGAGGAAGCTGTGAGTGAGGTGGATGTCCAGCTCAAACTAGATCTGCACTTCACTGACAATGAACAGCAGTGAGTATCCCATCATTGTTTCCCTCTGCATCATTACTGCTTGTGTTCAGAATGGCTTATACTATCATGCTATTTTTGCAGTATATGGTCAGAATACTCTGCATAGCATGTACATTTTTCAGGATGAAGGAAATTACTTCTACTTCTTTACCTAAGTTCTGCTTGTATATTAAACACTGAGTACTGTATCCCACAACTTGATCTTCCATGTACAGAGTGACAAATAAAGAAGCAATATTTTTTTTACGCTTTTTAACGCTGCAGACCACATTACACTGAATTCAAAAGTTTGGGGTCGGTAAGAAACAAGGCTCTTTTGCTCACCAAACAAAACAGTAATATTATTACAATTTAAAATAACTTTTCTATTTGAATATATCATAAAGTGTAATTCATTCCTGTGATGCAATGCTGAAATTTTCAACCCAGGCTCATTGGAAACGCATACATTTCAGCAACACCGTTATTACGTACCTTGCTGCACGTTTCGAGACAGTTTCAAAGGGAAACGCCAAATGAACGCGGGTTCAATATGTGACCCTGGCACGTTTTTTTTACATTGATATAGGCACGTATTGCTGTGTTTTTATTATGTTGCTTGAGGTACATATTACAGTGGTTCATAATTCAAATATCCGAGTGTCGCTAAAAGTTAATTCTCTATCGTGTTGGAAATTTCCCCTACACCAAACCCAACCCTAAACCTACCCGATAGTGTTAACAAATGCAAAACGAATTTGTTGATGCAACCGTGCCATTTGAACGTCTAGGTTACTTGTGTAACCCTCATTCCCTGAAGGAGGGACTCATCTCGGCTGGAGGGACCGGCTGTATCGCGTCCTTCGCCAGCAGGACCGCGATCTCTGCACGCAAGACAGGAGCATCTTTGTCCGGCACAGAGGTGAACCGAATGCCCCTGAACTTGGGCGGGCGCCGGGCGAATTGAATCACGTAGCCAAGTCTGATGGTTCTCATGAGCCAGCGAGACGGCCTGGGGAGCGCTAACCAGGCCCACAGTGACTGAACTAGCGGGACCAGGGAGACCACCGATGTACCCACAGTGGGGCAGCGAAGTGGAGCACAGGGACCCAACCCGGGAGGCTTCAGTGCATCCCAGGGTGGGGTCTGAGTGTGCGGCGCGCCACTTACCTGGCTCCACGGCTGGGCAGGGGGCTCGTGAGGAGGCGTAGCGTCCTTGGACTGAACCCTGCTGCCCATTGGCGAAGGGAGAGGGGGACGGCCATGTGGAGACTGGGTATCGCGCACTGCCATCCTCGCCCTCTTGGAACCCGGAGAAAAAGGAACCCGCTCTTCTGTTGAGGTTTTGGGCACCACTGGCTGGGTAGCAGGATGTATTGAGATGCCTCCGTCTCATCTCTCGGGCGAGATCCCAATTCGTCAGTCACTGACGTAACGTAGAACGTGACTGACTGAATGGGAACTTATTTATATTCAGGTTTGAACTGTTTTGTGAAAACGTAGATTCATGGGATTCGTACTCAAGCTCTTCACCTCTGAAGTCAAACTCCAAACTGCATGAGCTACCGAGCAAACCTACTGATTATAAAAACACATACATATGAAACTGGATGTGACGCTAACGTTCAAAAGTATTGGTTCTGTCAGGACCACTATCGTCAAAATGATAGATACTTAGCATAAAGTTTGGTTTGGCGGTATGGTTCTGTTCTGGGCAAAAAAGTCCCTGCCCATCCATGCAGCCTGTCATGAAAGAGCAGGGAGAGCAGCAATAATAACCCCCCTAGGGTTAACAGAACAGAACAAGGCAGATATCATTAATGTACTTAATGATATTTAAGTGTAACACTTTATTCAAGATAAAGGAGTCTGATTAGCAAGGAATATCAGAAAGCCAAGTCCTGACTGTGGCGAATGGAGGAGCTGGGGATGGAGGAGAGTCATTTGCTCCCCAGCAAGCTGAAAAGCTGCTGAATAATACTCAATAGAGCTTATATAGGAATGTTGCGATATGTGTCGTATTCCTATAGGTAGATGTGATCAGCTGAGAATCAGCTGACGCGAGCTTGATTCATGTGACCTGCCACGTGAGTCAAAGCTTAATTTTTGTTGCAGCATGTTAAAATCGTTTTGAATTCATAACATGATATTCCTCAAGTAATTGTGCAGAAAATGTGGCTTTATTAATCGAAGCTGTGGACCTGCAAATCATACTTAGTGTAAAAAGGAATAAAAGTTGAGTTTTACTGCCTCTAGTGTTTATTTCAACTGGAAACTGCAGCGATTCGTATATGTATAGGTACTTTTTTCAGTTCTGCAGAAATGTATTTAGAGGCACGTATTTCCAATGAGCCTATGTTGGAATTTTTAGCATCGTTACTCCAGTCTTTAGTGTCATATGATCCTTCAGAAATCATTCTAATATGCTGATTTGCTGCTCAAAAACATTTCTTATAATTTTTACTGCACCTTTAAGTGTAATGCTGAGAACAGTTACACCTAAAGGTGCAGTAAGATAAGCTCTGTTGATATTTGAAATCACCAAAACAAACACACCCCTACTCCACCCCCAATTCATGAACATGCTGTGCAATACAGGCACCTCCCCCATCACAAGCAGACACACCCCTTACTGGTGATTGGCTATAAGTGTTTTTTTTTTTTTTGATGCTCTGTGCCACTTAAAACAGTGTTTCAAAGAAATCACTTACTGCACCTTTATTATTTTTGTGGAAACCATTTTTATAATTTTTTTATAATATAATAATTTTTGCCACATTTGATTAATATATTACAGCTGAATAAAATTATACATTTCTTTAAAAGAAAAAAATCTTACTGACACCAAACTTTTAAACAGCTGCGTACAGTATTCCCAAAATTAAATACTAGCCTTCTCCATTCTGTAGTATATGCCATTTATTGCCCACATTTTATTAATAGTAATAACATGTTTTCTGTTTGACAATAATATATCATAATATATTATGCACTCCATCCAATACTGAATAATATCTTTACATTTGGCAGTCCGATGCAACAATGTCAACGCAGTTAAAAATCAATGATATTGCTTCTAGTTCATCCATCACAGGGAAAGTAGAAGACCAGATTAAACACATCGAGTTTTGTATTCCACACAGCAGACTCCATTCAGTACTTTCTCCATTCAGTATGTCACGTAGTTGACAACAACTCGCTGAATTAAACATGCAACATAATGAAGCTGTGTGACAATAATCTAGCACACATTTTTAAATATTTGGATATTTTCTCACATTCTATTAAAAAATAAAACTCATCTGTATGATCTCTCTGCCTGTCGGTATTTAAGGATGCAGTGAGAGAGTGTGGTAGAGCCTCAGGCAGGCACAGTGTGTGTGTATTAATCAAGAACAGTAAGAGGAAAGGCACTGAAGGCCCTCAGCTTAAAATACTCACACACACACAGTCCTGTTTCAAAGCAGCACAAATGAGAGCAATTACCTGTGCCCCTTACCTGCAGCAGAGCCCCGGAGCTCAGAGCAGCAGCAATGGGTCGGCCCCCGTGGCCCCTGAGCTCTGCAGGGGCGGCAGTGAGGCAAGCTCATTAACTACACTACCTGTCCATCTCTCTGCCCTCCTCATGTTCTCTCTCCTTCTCCTGTGGTCTTTTTCTTTGGCTGCCACATCTCAGTATATTTGTTACTTTTGCAGACTTGAGACAGTCTTCATTGTTCACATGCATATGAATAAAATTAAATGCAAGGTCTAGTGTGAATGTGTCTTTCTATAACGTGTGATTTTTGTCATGTGTTTGTGTGTTAGGTTGGCGGATATCTCTTCAGTGCCTCTGATTAGCAGCAGGACGTTGGGTTTGCACTTCCATCCACACCAAGGCCTACACCATCACCTGCCCGTCATGTTTGACTATTTCCACCTGTCCGTTATCTCCGTCTCTATCCATGCCTCCCTGGTGTCACTGCACCAACCGCTGATCAGGTGATCACTCAAACTCCGCCCCACCAGATCTCAGCTAATCAGCAGTTTAGGGCATTTTACCATGGCTTCAAAATTGATTTTGTATTTTTTTTTATTTTAATTTAATAAATTTTTTGAAATGTATTATTGTTGTTGTTTTGTTGCTTTGTAATTTAATTAATTTAATTTAATTGAAAAATAAATAAACTAAATAATACTTGCCTTACACAACTAATGATGAAATTATCAAAATGAAATTACATAAAAACAAACAAAAAATTAAATAGTAGTTATTATTATTATTAATAATAGTTAATAAATCATATTTTGTTTTAATTTAATATTAATTAATACAAATAATAAATAATCAGTTTTCAGGTTGCATTCACACTTTATGTAACCCAATAAATAAATAAATAAATAATTATTTAAAGTATAGTATTTTAATAAAATTTTGATAATTTCATAAATTTTGTAAGATCTTTCTCTGAACCCTCCTGAAAGCAAAGCTGTCAATTCCAAAGTGTGTGTGTTTGTCAGCTGTCATGAGTGATGGATTTCTAAGAACAGAAGCCTCATTAGTGACAAATATTCTCAAGACTGACTTTAACAAACTAATCAGGCATTTGTGTGTTTTTGGGTTATCCGTGAGGATCGGCAGGTATTGTTTTCAGACAGATATGCATATACATGAATTTGCATGACTGGATCATAAAGAATCTTGTGAGCGGTTCCCACCGAGATCCCTGACATTAATTCACTTGATCACAGCAGCACACATTGATCATTCCACAGGTTCTTACAGTCTGTCGTTTGTCTTTCTGTAGTTTTGCGCGCAGTGGAAAGGGTGCGTGGCTGGGTAAAGGCTCTCCAGAGAGTGAAGCTCCACCCTCTGCGATGTCAGTGGAGAATCTGATGTTTGGGGCGGGATATTGCAAACCTGTGCCAACAGAGGTAACCACATACATCTAACCTGATCAACTCACTCATTTTGCACATACACATAATTATAATGTGTTTAAATGACTGTACTGATCTCAACTGAACTATTAAATCCAACCCAGCTATCCGACATCTTACCTGACAGCATTGAAACTGGTCGATGGTGCTCTTCTGGGTTTCTAGATAGTTCAAGTCTCTTTCAGTATCTGTCAGAAAAAGAAACCTGTTGCAGAGGATGGTCATTACATTTTGATGAAAGAGTAATGAAATTGAGGCTTCTTTGTTCTAAATAGCATAATTCGTACTACTCAAGCAAGTATACGTGCATATATTCTGTATGTATGGAAATCTAATGACTGATTATATTTGCCAAAATGCACGGCACACTGTGAGATGCTTAACCTTCTTATTTCTAATGTAATGCACGATATTATAAATGTAATATCTTAACTCTCTCTCTCTCTATATATTATATATATATATATACACTCACAAATAATAACAGTCTTTTGTGGTGCAGTTAAATAATAATGGCTCTAATTATTATGAATACCAAACCAGTTTTTCGTAACAGATTTTATTAATATTTTTGTGGAAACTATTTATTTTTTCAGGATTCTTTTATTAATAGAAAGTTTAGTTTAAAACAGAATATTTTGTCATATTAAAAATGTCAGATTTTTCTTTATCTATCTATCTATCTATCTATCTATCTATCTATCTATCTATCTAATATTATTTATTTAATTTATCAGACTGCCCCAAATAAATGAATAATTGTTTTAAAAATGACGAAATATCCCCTATATTTCCGAAAAAAAATAACCGGATGCTACATTAAACATACAGAGTTCGTGACAACTTTGCATACTAATGGCTAAGTAATGCTTTCAGTTTCACTGTTACTCTATTATAATTATTTCAAAAATACCAGGCAGTATGCAGTGCATATAATGTGCAGTATTTATTCAGAACACATTCATGGAATATTTCCAAATAATACCTGCTTCAACTGGCCCTGAATGAAATACAGACACTTAACCTGAGCAATTTAGAACTAAACAGCATAGATAATTTGACCTTTCTGGCCGTTTGCGGAGTAGCCCTCCGTGGTTTCTTTTAACTATCTATTCAGCACAGGTCATTCAGCACAACTGTTTTTAAAATATAGTATATGAGAAATGTTTCTTGAGCATCAAATCAGCATTTCAGAAGGATTTCTGAAGGATCATGTGACACTGAAGACATGGAGTAATAAGGCTGAAAATTCAGCTTTGCATCACAGGAATAAATGCATGCTTTCTCTTTTAAGGCCTGACTTATTCACGGTACACAAGATTATGTGCTAAATAATTTATTTTACTGTTTACAGCAACATATGAGTAAATAATAATTTTAAGTATGAATTAGCTTTAAAGCTACACTGAGTAGGAGCAGGTGAAACTTTAATATTTAAATACTTTAAAAAAAGAAGGTAACAGAAGAAGGTGTCCTTGTTACACATTACATGTTCGGAACATTCTAACACCAATAAGTTTTCTTTTCCAACCTTAAGTTATGAGCACTTACTATGAATGATGCTAAACTGAAATTCAGTGCTATACAGGGTGACTTTTGAGCGTGACAGCTTATTTTTACTTTATGAAATAAACTCAAATATGAACAGCTTATTTAATAACCCTAGCAACAAAATGGCATGCTTTTCTGATTACCAACAGGAGAATTAGTTTCTAGTCAGACTAAAATATTGTTCGATAAAGCCTGTGCTTCTCATACACAGCCTGAATTTCCCAGCATCCTTCACAACTCTGTGTTCTGTTGAGCGATGCATTAGACGTAGAAACCTCATCTCTTTTGATACATACAGTAATTTCACCCACAGGACAGCTCAGCTTTTAATTACAGAACTCTGAGTTATTATAATGATGAAAAAGATGAAGAGATGAATCCCGTTTAGTTTTTATTACTGGAGTGGTTTTATTTCTCTCTCGTACGTGAGGTTCCTTTATAAAATATTTCTGCTCGCTGTGGCTGATCTTAAAAAAAGAAACATAAAATGCAAGATTGTAATGCATTCAAAATGTGCCTGCAAGACGAATACAGAGAGAAAAGCTGAAATGATTCAAAAGCAGCATGAATAATATATGTCCCAGCATGATCTACAGTGACCTAGTATGCTTTTTAAAAATGTTACAAAAAAGTTTGTTAAAAAAAGATTGTTATAAGATTGTTAAAACAGTCTCTCTTTAATTGTTTTTAAATGCAACTTTAATAAGAAATTGTTATAATGGAAATGAGAAGTGAATCTTTTCAAATACTAAGTCAAAAGTGCCCCTGATTGAAAAAACAACAACATAAATACTCTATTAATAAAACAACAAAGAATGTGTCATTGTGATTGACAGCTGTTGTCGTTTGATAGAAGTACATACTGAATATGTGTGTTTGTGCAGGTCAGGAGATTTTCTGAAGCATATTTCTTCACAGAACATCCCAAAGAGTCCTCACTCACATTTCAGGAGGAGCTGTGAGTTTTTTATTTATTTTAGTATAGCCTCTGTCTTTTTCTTTTAGACACACACACTATACCTAGCTATGCAAATGGAGAAATAACCTCAAATATTTTAATTAAAACTACTCATAACCCTTAAAAAACTGCTGAAACTACTATGTATCTCTGATGACAGTATCAATAGACACGCACAGGTGGCCACAGAGATGCGCAGCTCTGATTACCTGCTCCGAATGCCTCCACTTCCTGTGGAATGCCTGGACATCGACGGAGACTGGAGCAGCCTGCCAATCATCTTTGAGGACAGATATGTGGACACGCCCTGTTTAGGTGACAGCCAACAGAAACCCTGTTTAAAAGAGAGCAAACGAATGAATGAACAAAAGAATGAGCATCTGTACAAACAAACAAATGAATGAGCTTAAACAAACAAATCACTGAAAGAAAGAACAAACTTACAAATGAACAAACAAAAGTTTTAGAAACAAGAACTACTCAATGAGTGAACTGTATATGTGTGAATTGATGTATAGATCATTGTACAAATTAATGAATGAAAAAAGAGGATTTAAACAAACAAATCACTGAAAGAATGAACAAATTTATGAATGAACAAAATAATAAATAAACAAACAAAAAATTTTGAACAAAAAATTGAAAACTGAATCCGTGAACTGCATTTTGAACGAACAAAAAATGTGGCCACAGAGATGCGCAGCTCTGATTACCTGCTCCGAATGCCTCCACTTCCTGTGGAATGCCTGGACATCGACGGAGACTGGAGCAGCCTGCCAATCATCTTTGAGGACAGATATGTGGACACGCCCTGTTTAGGTGACAGCCAACAGAAACCCTGTTTAAAAGAGAGCAAACGAATGAATGAACAAAAGAATGAGCATCTGTACAAACAAATAAATGAATGAGCTTAAACAAACAAATCACTGAAAGAAAGAACAAACTTACAAATGAACAAACAAAAGTTTTAGAAACAAGAACTACTCAATGAGTGAACTGTATATGTGTGAATTGATGTATAGATCATTGTACAAATGAATGAATGAAAAAAGAGGATTTAAACAAACAAATCACTGAAAGAATGAACAAATTTATGAATGAACAAAATAATAAATAAACAAACAAAAAATTTTGAACAAAAAATTGAAAACTGAATCCGTGAACTGCATTTTGAACGAACAAAAAATGAACTGATTTATAAATGAATAAACAAATGAATGAGATCTGAAGAACTAAATAAAATAAACAGACAAACACATAAATTAATAATTGAAATAATGAGCATATGAACAAAGACAAATGTAATATACTAACAAATCAATAAGAAATAAGAGTAAATGAACAAACTAATGAACCAACAAACTAATGAATGCATGAAAAAGAATGAAAATGTGAATGAGTTAACTCAAGAACAAACAAGAATTTAAGAACAAATTAATTAATAAATGGGGGGATCAAATGTCAAATCAAAAACTAAAATCTAATTAATCAACAAAAGATTTGGTTGCATTTTAAAATATGTTTTTTAATAAACTGAGCACTTTTCTCTTTCTCTGTTCTAGACTACAACATCCATGTGCAAAATCAGACTGCCTTAAACTCTCAGCCATGTCCTGAGCCAACGAGGATGGAAGACCAAGCCATCAGTCCAGCTGAGGAAACACAGGACACCAATTCACCAGCAACAACCCCTGAGGAACCTCCCTGTGAAGATTACATGGACTTGCCCACATACATGGCCCTGATTGGCCGGCAGGAGGACTGCATCACTGACAATAAAGAGACCAGAGCTCAAGCAGAGACTCTGATTGGCCATGTGGGTGAGACTGATATTGATAGAAGCGAATGTATCACGATCTCAGATTCAAGAATCGATTCTGTTGAAAAGGCCACATGCCAATATGAAACTGAGGAAGGATTCGATGTTGACTGTAGGTCTGTAGACAGCGATGAAGCAATAGATACAAGTAACCTGGAAAAAACTAGCTGCCCAAAAGAAGCAGTTGACTTTGATGAATCGGATCATGCAGGTCTTTGTCAATCATTGCTGCTTGTTCCGACAGATGCTGCAGAACTTCCCAACCTTACCAGCTTTGAGTTCCTGCCCACTCATAACCATGACAACCATCTTGAAACACCAGGCAATACTGGGAGTCTTGGCAGCGACGAGCCACAGTCGGTATTAGATAACAGATGCATTGAATTACCTGCAAAGGATTATGGGAGCAAGGATACAACACCAGCTAATCTACTAAACGCCAACTCAATGGAAACTGACACTTTAGCCACGCCTCCTTCTCGTAACATTCTACAACAGAACCGTCGCTTGTCCGAAACTCCGCCCAAGGGCATGTTCTTGGGCGGAGCTAAGCTAATGAACCGCTCCTCCTCCGTGATCTCGGACTCCGGCATTGAGAGCGAGCCAAGCTCTGTGGCCTGGACCCTGGAGGGTCGAGGAGTTGTCGCAGGGGGTCGTGACGTCTTGCAGAACTTGGCGCGGCGTCGGCCAGGGCATCAGAGCTCTTTGGAAGGCCTACAGACGGAAAGTCACGGCAGCCTGCCCAGCGCCACACAGGCCTCTTTGACTTCCATAAGCTCCCTGCCGTATGAAGAGGAGGAGGCGAGACAGCTCAATACTTTGACCAAATCTGCCTCTGCACCACAGATCAGCAGCCCTGACGACACCGAGGAGGATCGTGAAACACCCAATCAGGAAAAGAGGAATGTTTGCGTGGCCAATCAGCTGAGTCTGAGTGATGAAGCAGCCAATGAGGTGAAGCGGAATGTTCAAGACATTACTACAGAGGACAGAGAGGAAACAACCAATCAGAGCTATGTTTGTGTGGCCAATCAGGTAAGGAAGAGTGAGGAAGCAGCCAAAGAGGTGAAGCAGAATCTTCAAGGTGTTACTAGAGAGGACAGAGAGGAAATAACCAATCAGGAGAATAAGAATGTTTGTGCATCCAATCAGTTGAGGCAGAGTGAGGAAGAAGCCAATGAGGTGAAGCAGAATCGTCAAGGCGTTACTAGGGAGGACAGAAACGAAACAACCAATCAGGAGATCGACAGGGACGATTTGTCCAATCAGGAAACAGTAAATCTTAATTTTGCTAATCCAGAAATGTTACTATACCAGCAATTTGTGACAAATAATGGTGTTGAAAACGCCACAGGGGAGGAAATGGCTGAAAACTCAGAGGAATGTCAAACAAATGTATTACTTGAAGAGTATTCTGGTCTAATGAATGACAACACAGAGGTTTGTAGCGAACACAAGGGGGTGCTAGAATCAAAAACGTATCAAAAGGACCCTGACGACATCAGTGTCTGTCACATTCATTTGAATGAACTTGAGGAAGTATGTATGGAGAACCTCCCAGATTCACCAACCAGTGACAAAAGCAGCCACGAAATTGCGGCCAATGAGAAAGAAAGGTCCGTTGATCTCATCAAGCTACCAGCCAATGAGAGAGAGCAGCAGGCACTAGATGGGCAAAGCAGAGCCAGTAAAGTGCCAAGTACAGGTCTGGCATTCGTGAATAAAAAGGTGGTGGAGGTTGTCAACCTGTCGGTGTCGTGCGCACCCACATGTCTGCCTTTCTCGTCCGTACTACGGGATTCGCCATCGGTTAGCGGAATCTCCACTCACCAGGCCACATCCCCCATTACCCATCAACCCCTGGGCTCTTTTGGAATAATCTCCTCGAACTCTTTCTTCGGTGCTGATCAGGAAATCAACGAGAGAATGATTAAGTATGTTTTTCTGTGATTTCAAGCAAGTTTCATGCTCAAAGTTTTCAATTATAAAAAAAACAAAAGACCTATCTGCCAGTGTTCATCAAAATTAAAACTTCAATTTCAAATTCTGTGTTTCAGTAACAAATTATTATTTTTTCATTAATAGCAAACACAATTTCTATTTTAAATGTATATTTACTCACCAGTCATAAGGAGATATCTCTGGTACAGGCCGAATTATCAGCGTTCACCCTGTTACTATTTAAACGCATTGTGCACTGTATCATTCAAGTTTTTCAATGATGTCTTAAAGCTTCTATAAGGCAAAGGAAGCCATGCTGAGGGAGCTGGTGTTCAGAGGCACTCTCTACAGTGACCTGCCTTACCTCGCCTCCGATCACCCATACTTCCCTCCTGAGGAAGACGACACTGAGTTTGAGGATGGGATACACCTTGTGGTGTGTGTCCATGGACTTGATGGTAAACGTTCAAATCTCGTAGACATTTCGATTCATAAAAGTGTGTAAGATAAAAAATAATAGCTGCATCTTTAGTAAATAGTTTTTTGTGTTTGTTATTACCAGGTAACAGTGCAGATCTGCGGTTGGTCAAGACGTTTATAGAGCTCGGGCTACCTGGATCTAGACTGGACTTCCTCATGTCAGAACGCAACCAGGTAGAACATCCAACCAATCAGCACACTTGCTGCACTGCTTTCAGCCAATTACAGCACCCAGGACATAATGAAATAATCACAATAGGTCAGGGGTACGATATGAAACTACGAAATACAATCATATATAATCAGAAACCTTTCATGGTTTAAAAAAGCAAACACACAAACCAGGGATTCCTGATTGAATGGAGAGAATAAAATGAAATACATTTTTTTGTTGTTGCTCAGATTGACACTATTTCATTATTAATAATCTTATTTTAACATGCCAACAGAACAACAAGCAACTATCACTACGTGACCAGTTAACAGCATAGCTGCGCACAACAACCAATCAGAAAGCTACAATGCCCCTCAACAACCAATCACAACTTTCATATGATTGATCAGCTTTCGTCTTTTGTCTCCAGACGGACACATTTGCAGATTTTGACACCATGACTGACAGACTTCTGGATGAGATAATTCAGCACATCCAGCTGTATAACCTCACCATCCACCGGATCAGGTTTATACACATTGCCTTAACCTATATTAATCAGTTCTGGTCTTTACCACATTTAACAGCTGCAAAACTCACCATCATATTGACATTATATCAGTGCAGCCAAACCACAATCAATATCAGCACTGCCATAGAGCTCAAAATACGGGTTCGAACAGTGTGTAGACATTCAAATGTCATGCCTTTTGAATGCAGATGGTATAGTTACGACATCAACCAGCAAGGTCTAACTAGTCCATGTGAACCACCATGTGAACACTGATACTATATGACTTTTTAAAACCCTGTGACCCCACACACTGTACACAAAATACATTTTACAGACTAGTGCGCCCCTTGTGGTTGGACAATAGCCACATCTGCCACAACCACTTCAGAGTAGTTAATCATGTTATATAAGCCTCATTAGTGTGGTCTTTACATCTGGATATTCATGAACAATTTAACAAATGTATGATCTTCAGCTTTTTACAAAATCGTATGTTGTAGACAAGGTTTGCATTCAAAATGTTTAATCCAGATATCAAGTGTAGCATGAAGTATAAAGCTTCACATTAAAGATATGCTTTAGAGTGAGTTATAATAAATAGCTGCATACAGAAGCTGAAGTGTGATGACTCCACTGATCCCACTAGAACTGCAAATGTTATACTTATTATTACCACAAGATGGCAGAAGAGTAGAAGAAAGGTAGCATTTGTTTGGCTTTCAGAAGAAATTCAATCTAAAGATATTCACACAATACACTGGAAAATGTAACAAGGTGTCTCCTAGTTCATATAAAGCTTTTTAATCTTAATTTTACACTCACAGTAATTTATTTTTTAATCTCTCTGAAGTCTCTAGAGTTTCACGTCTTCTCAAAATCAAATGTTTAAAGGTTTCATAATGATCATGGCAGACTTAATTAAAACTGTAGTTCCTAAGAAAATGTAAGAATAACTTGCAATGAAATGGATCCTCATTTTGAACACTTATCTTTGGAAGGTTCAATGCCTGACTTTTTTTTTTTTCGCCTCTTTTTCCAGTTTTATCGGACACTCTTTGGGGAACGTCATCATCCGCTCTGTGCTGACCCGACCCAGATTCCGCTGTTACCTCTGTAAACTCCACACCTTCCTGTCCCTGTCTGGACCCCACCTGGGAACACTGTATAATAACAGCACGCTGGTCAGCACAGGTACATTTGAACAGTAGTATGTATGTATATGAAGTTGGTGTAGAGTTGATCAGGGAGTCTGTCATCATTTCCCCAACTTCATCTCATTCTAAACCCGTATGACTTTCTATCATTGTTCTTCAGGTCTGTGGCTAATGCAAAAACTCAAGAAGTCTGGTTCCCTACTGCAGCTTACATTCAGAGACCACACCGACCCGCGACAGACCTTCCTCTACACGCTCAGCAAGAAACCAGGTAGAGATTCATTGAAAAACAAACAAGATTAAACACAAACACACATACTCATGTTTTCTTTCTCTCTTTGTCCAGGTCTGCAGTTCTTCAGGAACGTGGTGTTGGTGGCCTCTCCACAGGACAGATACGTGCCCTTCCACTCGGCCCGCATTGAGATGTGTCGGACGGCGCTTAAAGACAGAACCACAGGTGTGTTAACTTCCTGTTCCAACCTAGAACTTACCAGAGTAATTTAGCAAGCACATAGCATCACCCTAACAACCAGCTGGAGCGCTCTAGAATCAATCGCTTTAACTATTCCTTAGTTTTAATATTTAAAATACAAATAAACCTGCACGCGTATTCCATTAGCAGCGTATTCCAATAGCTCTGCCAGCAGTGGGAATGAAAGGAATCTGTGAGAGGAAGTTAAAGAGAGAGCGAGAGGGAAGAGATCATTCTTCATTTTATGAGACTGTCACCTCTGAGAGTGGCGTGCAGCTCTTTGACAGGTATTTTTCTCTCGGTTTGAGAGACAGATTAGAGAATTCAGCCTCTCTGTGAGTGTCAGTGTGACAGACAGAGCTAAGGATACATACACTGAGCAGTCACACACACACACACACACACACACACCAAGACTATGATCACATAGAACAATGAAAGATGCCTTGAAATAGAGACTTTGTTTGGATATGAGTATGCCGTTCTTCATTTTATGAGACTGTCACCTCTGAGAGTGGCGTGCAGCTCTTTGACAGGTATTTTTCTCTCGGTTTGAGAGACAGATTAGAGAATTCAGCCTCTCTGTGAGTGTCAGTGTGACAGACAGAGCTAAGGATACATACACTGAGCAGTCACACACACACACACCAAGACTATGATCACATAGAACAATGAAAGATGCCTTGAAATAGAGACTTTGTTTGGATATGAGTATGCCAACTGTTGGTGTCAATGCACAGCTAGCTGCAGTCGGCAAAATATGGCAAGAGCTTTCTCAACATGGCAAGTTCTAATCAGATTGGTAGGCTTTCCAAGAGTCTGCGAGCACAGGTTTTAATCAATCCGCTTGGAGATGAAGTCATGTTTATGAGTTCTCAGGCTCTTCAGGGAAAGAACTAGACTTGCAGTGCTTTCAAGGTTTATGCAATAACTCTTTGGAAAAATATGCAAGACCCTTGCATGCTGTTGATGAATTTAAAAAACAGCCAAAAATCTACAATGCATTTACAATGCAAGTTTCAGGGGCAAAGCATTGTGCCAGGATAAAGGTTACATACAGTTTACAAAGTATAGACATACTAATTCACTTATTAACCTGGTCTGTGGTAAACTAATCCAATCTATGCCTTTAAAAACAAAAAAGAGACTGTTTTAGTAAATGCACCAAGGATGCATTTATTTGATTAAGAATTCAAAAACAGTAATATTGTTAAATATTATCACAATGTTATTAAGGAAACAACTGTTTTCTATTTTAATATGTTATAAAATGTAATTTATTTCTGTGATAGCAAATCTGAATTTTTTAGTGTCACATGATCCTTCAGAAATCATTCTAATATGCTTATTTGGTGCACAAGAAACTTTCTTTTGTCAATGTTAAAAATAGTTATTTTAATATTTTATTTTTGTGATAGATATTTTCAAGAAAAATTGTAATTTAATTTTAATATTTAAACTTAATTGTAAAATCTTATTTTTGTTTATTTTATAAACAAAAAAGTTTATTTTATTTTAATATTTTTGCTATGCATATCTTTAGGATTTATTTTATTGTAATATTTTCATGTCAATATTTTATTTTGGTGATACATTTTTTTCAGGAATTTTCTTTGAATCAAGAAACTTTCTTTTGTCAATGTTAAAAATAGTTATTTTAATATTTGATTTTTGTGATAGATATTTTCAAGAAAAATTGTAATTTAATTTTAATATTCAAACTTAATTGTAAAATCTTATTTTTGTTTATTTTATAAACAAAAAAGTTTATTTTATTTTAATATTTTTGTTATGCATATCTTTAGGATTTATTTTATTGTAATATTTTCAATTTTTATGTTAATATTTTATTTTGGTGATAATTTTTTTTCAGGAATTTTCTAACTCATTCCTTTGATGTCAATTAAAATCTGTTCGATGGAAGTTTACTCCTCGTCTCCTCATTCCTCGCTCCTCGCGCTCCCTCACAGTAGCGAAGCGTGTCAGAATACCGGACCACATCATCCAAGTGGATGCTGCACACTGGTGGTGGTTGAGGAGAGCCCCCCCCCCCCCCCCCCGTTTTAAACAGTAACTATTTATTTATTTATAATATGTATTTTATTATACTATGTATGTATATATTTTTTTTTCCTTTGAAAAAAAAGGAAATAAAAGCATCAGCAAAACATCTCTAATATATTTGCTTTTTAACAGGTCCAGTATATACAGAGATGATCAATAACTTACTCCAGCCGTTGCTGAGTGCTCCAAATTGTCGTTTGATCAGACATAACGTGTTCCACGCGTTACCCAACACGGCCAACACGCTGATCGGACGTGCGGCTCACATCGCCGTGCTCGACTCTGAACTCTTCCTGGAGAAGTTCCTTCTGGTGGCCGGGCTCAACTACTTCAAATAGACATCATGCCTTGAGTTGGATGGGAGAGCCAATCAGATTACACTTAACGTCAGCCAATATCATTTAATTTCAGAGTCATAATGAGCTCTGGAATTTTTTTTTTAAAAAGTTCAGTCTTTGGACGCAAAAAAAAAAAAAAACAGAAACTGAAGATTCAGACGATGACTCTGAACACATATGTAAAATCTGTACAGAAAGAACATTGTATACTAAGCAAATAGAAGAAACTAACAGCTGGAGGCCTACACAAGCCTTAAAGCTTTATGGTGTAGTAACTTAACGTTGAATAATCCTAGCTGGAAAATTAATATTTTGAATGTAAATTCAGTGTGTAGCTGGTGTTGCAACAACAGCCTTGGTTCTTCATTCCCTCCAGTCACCGAACGTACAGTGCTGTGAAAAGGTTTTTGCCCCCTTCCTGTTTTTTTTACTTCTTGCATATTTGTCACACTTAAAAGATTCAGATCATCAAACAAATTTTAATATTACACAAAGTTAATGCAAGTACATACAAAATGCAGTTTTTAAATGATAATTTCATTTGTTATGGGAAAAAAGCTGTCCAAACCTACCTGGCCCTATATGTGAAAAATTAATTGCCCCCTCCTGTTAAAGCTGAGTTAAATTTGACTAGCCAAACCCAGGCCTGATTACTGCCAGACCTGTTGAATCAAAAAATCACTTAAATAGAACCTGTCTGACAAAGTGAAGTATGCTTAAAGAGCAACACATCATGCCGCGATCTAAAGAAATTCAAGAACAGATGAGAAACAAAATAGTTGACATGTATCAGTCTGGAAAGGGTTATAAAGCCAATTCTAAGGCTTTGGGACTCCAGCGAACCACGGTCAGAGCCATTATCCACAAATGGTGAAAACTTGGAACAGTGGTGAACCTTTCCCAAAATTACTCCAAGAGCGCAATAACGACTCATCCAGGAGGTCATAAAAGAACATCATATCAACAGTCAAACATGGTGGTGGTAGTGTGAAGCTTTGCAGCTTCAGGACCTGGCTGACTTACCATAATTGATGGAACCATGAATTCTGCACTCTATCAGTAAATCCTGAAGCAGAATGTCCGTCTGTCAGTTTGTGAGCTCAAGCTCAAGCGCACTTGGGTTATGCAGCAGGACAATGATCCCAAACACACCAGCAAGTCCACCTCTGAATGGCTCAAGAAAAACAATATGAAGTCAAAGGTCAAAGACTTAAATCCGATTGAGATGTTGTGGCATGACCTTAAACAGTCCGTTCATGCTCGAAAACCCTCCAGTGTGGCTGAATTAAAACGATTCTGCAAAAAGGAGTGGGCCAAAATTCCTCCACAGGGATGTGAAAAACTCATTGCCAGTTATCGCAAACGCTTGATTGCAGTTGTTGCTGCAAAGGGTGGCACAACCAGTTATTATATTTAGGGGGCAATTACTTTTTCACGTAGTGCCAGGCAGGTTTGGACAGCTTTTTTCCATTAATAAATGAAATCATTATTTTAAAACGGCATTTTCTATTTACTCGGGTTATCTTTGTGTAAAATTAAAATGTGTTTGATGATCTGAATCATTCAAGTGTGACAAATATGCAAAAAAGAAAAGAAAAAAAGGGGGGAGGGGGCAAAAACTTTTTCACAGCACTGTATATTTGCTGCACCGTTCTGCTCGAAAACCCTCCAGTGTGGCTGAATTAAAACGATTCTGCAAAAAGGAGTGGGCCAAAATTCCTCCACAGGGATGTGAAAAACTCATTGCCAGTTATCGCAAACGCTTGATTGCAGTTGTTGCTGCAAAGGGTGGCACAACCAGTTATTATATTTAGGGGGCAATTACTTTTTCACGTAGTGCCAGGCAGGTTTGGACAGCTTTTTTCCATTAATAAATGAAATCATTATTTTAAAACGGCATTTTCTATTTACTCGGGTTATCTTTGTGTAAAATTAAAATGTGTTTGATGATCTGAATCATTCAAGTGTGACAAATATGCAAAAAAGAAAAGAAAAAAAAGGGGGGAGGGGGTAACTTGAAGAGGTCAATATCACTGGACTTTATACTTGAAGAGTAAATTGGGTCACTGGCATTTGAATTTCACGTTACGAGAACATGTTTTCATGTTTCTTTTTACGGAGTCATTCTTTTATAGTTTGTGTGTTTTGTCCGCGTTATGTTGTGAAGTGAGAGTCTCACTGTGAAATAAGCCAAATCCATTGTGTTTTCTGTATTGTGATGCAATACAATCGTTCTGTTTCCCCCGTAAACGTGTTCATTAGGTGTGCAGAGAACATGATCTGAATGTGTTTACCATTCCAGCCTTAACTATCACAAAGTGAGTATTTCTGAACATCTCCGATTCTATCGTTTCAACGTTACGTTTATTCATTTTAAATGGTTAGTTCACTAATACTAACATTCTGTCATCATTTACTCACCCTTCATGTCATTCCAAACCTGAGTTCTTCTTTCTACCATGGTACACAAAAGGAGCGTAGTGTCCAAAAATGACAATATAGCCCTTTAGAAACATGATAAAAGCATTATAAGCTGATTTTAAAATGATACATTAAGATATTTTCAAAATAATTTGCTGCAGTTCAATTGTTTAAATGAGCATCTATGACTGGCATTCAGGATGACTACACATTCTGGATTGGATGGGCTCAAATAAATGGGACAGAACACTTTCATGCTTTACTTAGTGTTTGCAGGGCAGCACTGCGCAATCCTTGAATTGCAACTGGTCTTCTTTCTTGCATACTTTTTTTACATGAATCCAAATATCTATAGCCGTCTTTCCACTGCAAAAGGAGCCCAGAAATGGATTTTGTACACAAATGACAGAAAATATGTTTGTAAGAAAAGTCAGTTTTAAAACGCGTCGTATACGGAATTCAATGTACATCGAGGCGAAGTCAAAAACCTACTGAAACTACTGTTCAAAACTTTGGGATTGGTACGATTTTTTTCCCACGTTTTTGAAAGAATCATTTTATGCTCACTAGGGCTGCATTTATTTGATCAGTTAAAACAGTAATGCAGTGAAATATTATTACAATTTAAAATAACCTGTTTCTATTTTATTATATTGTAAAATGTAAATTATTCCTGTGATGCAAAGCTGGATTTTCATCATCATGAAGACTGGAATAACGAAAGTGATTCTGAAGACTGTGGAGAGTTTTCAGAATGACTTTCATTATTCCAGTCATCAGTGGGCTGGTTAATATTTTTGTGCAAACTGACTTTTTTTTTTTCATGACTTCTTTGATGACTAGAAAGTTCAAAAGAACAGCATTTATTTGAAATATAATTTATTTTGTAAAATTATAAATGTGTTTACTGCAACTTTTGAAAAATGTAATGCTTCCTTTCTGAACAAAAGTATTAATTTCTTTAAAAAAAAAAACACCTTTTGACTTTTGAACGGTAGCATATCTAAAACTTTATAACTTTGTATTTCAGCACTGATATTTCCTTTATTTTATTTATTTTTAGATTTGCCTTTTTCATATTTTATTACATATGTATTGTTTAAGTTAGGAAGCATTCATTGAAAACCCCCCAAAAATCAAGAGAAATGTCCCAGTGTTTATGGTGGTTGCAGCCTTGTTGTGTTTGTTTTATATATTTTATAGTCTGTTCTTTGTCGTGTAACATGTTCTGTTTGCACATTTCAGCGCATTGTTTGGTTGTCGTAAGATAAGCAAAACTGTTTAAATTCACAAGTGGTTATGTTAGCCTTTGGTTCTTTCTGGTCCGCTTTAGCACTGTACTCCTCATGAGCAGCTTATCTTATTTATTGTATTGTATCACACTGGATTGACCTCGATTTGATCTCCTATAACACTTAGTTTTCCCATAAAGTCTGTTCTTCAGCTGTCTGCTCCTCAAGGGTAACACGTGCAGCCACACCTCAAGTTTTCACCTCGTTCAGCATCTTTAGCTCTTGTTTTCAGTGAGTTCTAGGTCTGATGTCAGCAGCGTGTGATTGGGTTTAGATCAGCGCCGCCGAGTCAGCAGAGTTTTAGAAGATGCCCTTTCTGTCCCCGCTGAGCTTTTATGTACGCGCTGACTGACGCTTGATTAGTCGGTAAATACGCTGTCACCGTGATTGACGCTAATTTAACTCCGCCTCTCAGCACATATCACTGTCACGTGACTCTGCTGTTTTTATACCGCTGAAGGAGCCATCAGGCATAACGCTCCATTACCCATCATGCTCTGCTGCGCTGAGCTTGTTTGTTTGTTTGCTAGCTAATTTGGGCTGATGGCAGAGTTTGCTCACACAAGCATATTAATTACGGAAACAGAGCTGATCTGCGGTGCGAATACTGACCAAGGGCAAAAGCAAGTGTAAAATATGGTTACTTAGATGCTGGGGAAAAAAGCTTATTTGTCTCACAGCGGTATTAACAGAATCTATTACAACTGAACGCGACTGCTCAATGCAGTTGAACGACAGTTGCATCACAGATCAGATTTAATTTCTCCAGTGAGGAGAGGGAGTCGAGCTGACTGACAAGAAGAGTGGGGTGAGACAGACAAGACAATCATGGATGATTTAGTTTCAAAATATTATATTAGAGATATTAGTTTCGTTTTTTTTAAACATTAGTTTCTTATTTAATTGGTTCCACATTGTTTGCTGATTTGTTACTTTATTTAAACTTTGTGTCATTTATTTATTTATGTTTCAAGCAATTGACGCCTAACTGCCGCTAATTCTAAAGTGAAAGTAAAATGCGCACGGCGCTTTTAAGCTATTTAAAAGTGAAGGAAAGCGAGAAAAAGAGGGAAAATTAAAACAAACTAAAAACAAACAATTGCTTTACTCCGAATAGCCACTATTTGAAAGTGAAAGTAAAATGTGCACACCGCTTTTACAAGCTATTTAAAAGTGAAGGAAAGCACGGAAAAGAGGGAATGCGACCCGCCCCTGCAGTGATACCTATATTCCCGGTGTTGTCACACGTCGATTAACCGGTGGGAAAATGTCCTCACCATCACAACCCTATTGGGTTCAAGCTCAGGCTCTGGCTGGGCCACTCAAGGACATGCACAGAGTTGTCTATAAGCCACTCTTGCTGTGTGCTTAGGTTCATTGTCCTGTTGGAAGGTGAACCTTCTGCCCAGTCTGAGGTTTTGAATGCT